TGGCACTTTTATTGGACTCTGAAATAGAAAAAATAATAGATGCCTTTGAGATGTATATATACAGATGGATGTTGAAAATTGCATGGGTTCAAAAGTTACTAACGATGAGGTACTTATGTGCATGAGTAAACAAAAAGAATTATTATGTATGATCAAAGAGCAGAAAATAAAGTACTTGGGTCATGTGTTTAGAGGTGAAAGATGTGAATTACTTTAAATCATATTGGAAGGTAAAGTACAATGCAAAATATCAGTAGGAAGACGACAGAATGTGTTGCTCAGGAGATGGCTTGACCATTCATCTGCAGATATCTTTCGTGCAGCAGTTTCATAAGCTACAATGGCCATTTGGATCGCCTATCTTCGAAATTATATATCCCAATAAGAAGAAGAATTGTACGTTAATTTTTAAAACAATAATTTAAAAATTAGTTTAAAGCAATAACATTGTGGATCTTTATTATAATTAAAACTCAACTACGTTTCAATTTATTCGACCATAGTACAAATTGGCCATGGCCAGGTTTATTTTACATATTTTTTTATTATTCACTCATTTGTTTATAATTCAAATAAGATTGTCCTTGTTTTATTGTTGATCTATCTTAAAATTAAATTAAAAATATTCCAATTAACGTTTTATATAATATTATATAATATTAATTAACATATTAATTCCCTGTCGAAGATGAAAAAAGTAATTCTAAGAACCATTATTTATACATTACTGTAAAAAATTAGACATCCAATTTTGTTGTAAAAAACCAAGGTCGCTGGTTTCCATCAAAATTAGTTACGTAAATGTAAACAGCAGAATCAACGTACATATTCCTTTTGAACTAGTCGTAAAATGGTCTAATTGTGCTAAGCTTATGTAGTTGGCAACAAAAAATTAAGATGATTACTGAAAAGAATAATCGTGTCGTTAGATGAATGAAGTATAATACTTGAGTATAAAATTAAAACGTAAATTGGTTGGATAAGGAAGTAAAAATTGACGTCCGTTCATGCACACATACAATAGATAACAATATACTGGGTGTTAGAAAAATATTAGTAAGAGCTTGCATTTTCAGTTTGGTTCTGACAGTAGTCACCAAATTATTTTTATGTGGCATTATATTTTTCTGGATTCAGCAATAATTTTTCGTTCCAATCATGTTAATTTCCGAGCAATAAGACCTCTCACTAATCAATTAGACCTTCAATCAGATGGGGCCTTCTTCAAGAGTCACAACGTCTTTCTTGGTACAAAAGTGACAATGCTGCCATGCTACGTTTTTTTTATGGTGTTTGGAAGCAAACTGTTCCAAAAGTGGAAGCATTTGCGATGTGGCTATATCGGATAATACTTAAGATCTCGTGGACTGACCGAGTCATAAATGAAGAGGTTCTCAGAAGAATGAATAAGAACTGAGAGGAGGAGATGATATTTGTTTCAAAATCTTCCATAAATATATCAGCTAAGAATGGAAATAAACTAGAGCCCATTGCTATACCAAAATTTTGTTTATAGAATTCATTATTTAGTTGAAAATATGTATTATCAGTACATAATGTTAATGTTAATAGGGAATAATTAAATCCTTATACGATAGAGCCAAAATTACTTGTTCTAACGAAAATTCGTTCTTGGAGGAGAAACATTTGTTAACATCTGTTTTATTAAAAAATGATTATCCTTTATCGTTTATAAATAAGGAATTTTCAACAATCGATCGAATAGAACAGAACAACTTAGAACGAGATCCTACAGCATACACAAGCAATAATATGAGGAAAATAACAATACCGTACATAAAAGGACTATCAGAAAAACTTAAAAGGATAGAAAATAAATTCAACATTTCAATAACATTCAAAACAACAAACACGTTGAGATCTATTTTGTCTAAAACCAAACCTAACAATGAACAAGAAAGGACAAAGAATTGCATTTATAAAATACCTGACCTTGTGAATGCGATCAGTTTTATTTAGGTGAAACATCAAGGCCATTAAATGTTAGAATATGTGAACATCAATTAAAAATAGAGAATTTGATAGATCTCAAATATGTAAACACGCATGGGATAATGAACATAGGGTTCAATGGAATAATTCAAATGTAGTCCTAAAAGAAACGGATGGTAAAAAAAGAAAAATCAAAGAAGCGGCTCTAATTATACTAAATGAGGCCAATTGTGTCCCAAATTCGAAAGAGGAAGTTATTAATAAGAAAATACCAGTATTAGTAAGTCAGTAACATATAGAGGATACATCATTTATATTTTTTAAATAACGAAACATATAAAATCAGAATTTTGGTGTTTATTGAAGGTAAACTAAATGCACGAACAAATACTTACCATGTCGGGATAGTATTATGAGGTTTTTTTTCTGGTTTTTCCCTCATAATTTACTATGGAATCACTAACAGGAGAATTTTACTGTTATCATGTGATCTGTTTGTCTTTTTAAAGACGAATTACATGCTATGATTTTCTTCTGACGGATATTCTCAAGGTAAAGTTGATTTCATGTAATCAAATGATCTTATAAGTAAAGTCGTCCTAGGAGCGCAACTCAACAATATTCACAATATCATTTTAAAGTCGTCTACTTTAAAATGCATAATGTATGTCTGAATTGTTAATATAAATGAGTCAGATAAAATTAAATTATTAGAAGAATTTTTCACCATGTAACAAAAAACAAAATTTGTTTAATTTACTGTTTGTATTTTGAGAACGATTTCCGAAGTGGAAATTGAAACGTCAATAAACGTATTTTTATCTTTAATTGTGGCTTATTTCCAGTTTAATAGTAATTAACTTTCTTTTTTTGTTTACTTATGCACCGAAGTTAATCCCCATTGGTAATTTTTTATATCCATGGAATTCTCAGCATTCATCTGTATATCTACATTTCAAAGGCATCTATTCTTTTTTCTGTTTCAGTGTTCATTGTTCAACTTTCACAGCCATACAGCAAAACAGAGAAAACATAACATCTCATCATTCAATTTCTAAGCTCTAGGCTAAGGTCTGATCTTGTAAAAAATGTTTTTATAAAAAGAGAAATCATACGATTTCTACCTGGCGAAATCGAATTCAAATATAAGCCGCCGCGCTCCCTAAAACTTGCGAAGCACACAGCTTGATGAATGAATCGGCAAGGGAGTCTAAAAATTGCACTCCAAATGCCGTTCATCATGGCCTATATTCGTAGTGAATTCGATTTCTGTTTGTTTATTTACTTCATTTGGAGTACCAGAAAAAAGGAAACCAGTTAGAATGTGAAAACTACCGTGGAATCACGCTGTTGAATGCGGCATACAAAATAATGTCCATCGTAATGTATGTAAGACTTAGACCATACGCTCAAAAAAATAGTTGGCAAATACCAATGTGGCTTCTGTAGACAGAAGTCAACAATAGACCAGATATTTGTTCTGCGACAGATCCTTGAAAAAACAAGTGAATATAACATCGACACACATCATCTCTTCATAGACTTCGAAAGCGCATATGACAATATAAACCGAGAATTCCTAACAAAAGCAATGAAAGAATTTAATATACCAACACAGCTAATAGAATTAATAAAAGAAACACTAAAAGTAGAAAGTAAAATCCGGATACAAAACGAATTAACGGAAACAATAGATGTGAAGAAGGGACTACGCAAGGGAGACGCTCTATCATGCATATTATTCAACATCATACTTGAAAAAATAATAAGAGACACAACAGTTAATACCCGAGGAACAATAATTCATAAAAGCGTGCAAGTACTAGCATTTGCAGATGATGATATAATCGCAAGATCAAGAAGAGAAATGATAGAGACATTCACTCAAATAGAACGAGCTGCAAAAAATAGTGGTCTTAAAATCAATCAGACAAAAACAAAATATATGCCTGCAAATAAAAACGCACAAATAAGGCAGCTGCCAAATTTAACAATAGGAGAATACAACATTGAGGCGGTAAAAAACTTTACATACTTAGGATCCCTAGTTACGTCTGATAACAACGTTGCAGAGGAGGTGAAGAGGAGAATATTTATTGCCAATAAATGTTACCATGGCTTAATTAGGCAACTAAGATCAGATAACGTCTCCAGAAAAACAAAATGCCAAATATACAAAATCTTAATAAGACCGGTACTCACATACGATTCAGAAACCTGGACACTCTCTAAAAGGGAGGAAACGTTATTAGCCACATTTGAAAGAAAAATCTTGTGACACATATATAAGGGCACAAAAGAAAACGGGATTTGGCGGAGAAGGTATAACTTTGAACTATACAACATATACCAGGATCCGGATATCATAACATTCATTAAAATAGGAAGGCTACGTTGGATTGGACATGTGGAAAGAATGGAAGAAGGCGAAAAACCAAACAAAATATTCAAACAAGTGCCAGTAGGAAAAAGAACAAGAGGAAGACCGAAGCTGAGATACGTAGAACAAATAGAAAATGATATAACAACATTAAAAATTAAAAACTGGAAAAAAAGCACGAAACAGGTCAGAATGGAGAAGAATCCTTGAAGGCCAAGACCCAAAAAGGGTTGTCGAGCCAGTGATGATGATGATGATGATGATGATGATGATGATGATGATAATGATAATGAATATACATTCCGAATACAGATTAAATAATAACGGTGATTCGACGCAACCTTGTCACACTCCTCCTCGAATTTGTATATCTTCTAATGTTGCGTGCTCTATTTCAATTGTTGCCGTTTGGTGCCAATATAGTTCTGATATAATTCGCAAGTCTTTTTCGTCAATTCCAGTTGTTCTTAGAGTTTCGATCATTTTTTGATTGTTAACGCAGTCAAATGCTTTTCCATAATCAATAAAACATGAAATTACATAAATATAACAAAATAAAAGATAATAAAATATACAATCCATTGCAAAACTTAAACAAATTGCATAATAAAACCTTACCAACTAAGAAGTTTAAGTTGCTGACTTATCCAAATAAACCATTTTTTAGATAAAGATTACAAGAATCTCCATACAAGAGTAACTGCTGAAATATTGGGTACTGCTCTACCTTTCCCAGGAGTTGATGGCCAGTCTGCTTGTAAAAATTTATACGAGGAAGATAAGACTACGCTAGTAAAAGATTGCGAAGTTAAAGCAGGAAAAGACTACTATTACTTAAACGGTTTTGAAGTTTTAAGAATTTATCCAAGGGTAAGCATTTTATGTTAATGTTTGTTATTTCTTGACCGTGAATTTTTAAAATAGAAACTTTTTTAGTTCCTGGGTTTGTCGATCTGTTATAAAGAAATCGCTTAATTATTGCTTAAACATTTCTACTATTTGTCCTTTTCAATAAGAATTTTTATTAAATAAACATTACATTATATACTATATATTTTTAATTTATATACTATTTGGTGGTTTTACATTTTTAAAAACCGTTTGAAAAACGAAAAAATACCAATAAATTTAAAGAAAAGGGTATAGAACAGTTTAACACTACCAGTTATGACCTATGGAATGAAAACCTTACAAAGTTATCAGTTAATAGATAAAGAAGAGAAAGCACAGAGGGTCATGTGGCAATGTGAAAACGTTTGCCTTGTGAAAAAACTCTAGAAGTGATAATATGAAGAGTGTATTCATAAGATATTGTGCAGTAATATTATAGCTATTAATTTGCATTTAACTCCATACTTCAGCTAACACATTGTCTGCAAACTCGAAATTAGATATAACGGTAACCTGGATGGTACGTTAAATTCAGTTCTCTTGCAAAGTGTTGCCGGATAAAATTTTAAACACGTGTTGGAGAATGATGAGAAACTTGAATCGAATCGAAACGTAACTATCTACATTTATTTTGAACTCCTTAATCCAAGAAATTGTCTCTTTTTTAAAGTACGACTGGTTACATTTTCTATACCTTACTATATAGAGCGGAGGCCTGGATGCTGTTAGAGACTCCCATGAAAGTTATAGAAGTATTCTAAATATGTATATCCTGGACCGAACAAGCTACCAGCATCAAGATTTCCCCTTTCTTGGCCAATTCCACACAAAAATTGAGGCACAATTAAATGAAGAAAACTTGAATATCTAAGCCACATATTAAAAAACTATAAGTACCGTTTACATAATTGATTATTAATGGAAAAATAGACAGTAGATCAGGACTAGGTAGGAAAAGTCCTATTTTGAAGAGGCTCTAAAAGATTGGTGAGAGCATTTCAATAAATAGAGTCAACCTTAATAACCTGCGGTATATAAATGATATAATAGTGTTTTCCAATACCATAGAAGAGCTGCAAAACTTAATGAACAAAATAACGGAAACAAGTAGAACATATGGACTGGATATAAACACCAGCAAAACCAAGCGAATCATCTTCAACAAGAAAAACATAACTGGAGCAAATCTGTATGTGAACCAAATGAGAATTGAATACGTCTCACAGTGTAACTACTTGGAAACTATAATCAATGAGTCGTAAGATATTAGCCAAGAGATTCAATGTCGCATTGGAAAGGCAAAAAGTGCATTCTTGACTATGAGCTCTATGTTTAAGATCCATGACCTCACCCTAAAAACAAAAATAAGGCTCCTTAAATGTTACGTGTACTCGGTGCTTCTGTGCGAAGTAGAAACGTGGACATTGAAGGCAGAAACTATCAAAACATCAGGATCTTGAGCTATGGTTATACAGAAGAATCCTGAAGATACCATGGACCATGGTACCATGGAGGATGAACACAACCCCGGATTTGGCAAATATGAGCTACTTCAATGCCTTTTGCAAGGTAAAATCAAAGGAACAAGGGCTCCAGAACGAAGAAGAATATACCGGCTTGCTAACCTGAGAGCATGGTATAGAAAGATCCCAACACAGATATTCCGTATAGCAACCAACAAAGTCATCATAGCCAGAATGATCGCCAAGGTTCGGAACGTACAGGCAACCTAAGAAGAAGATTCAGAAGTGTCATAAGCAAGATCAGAATTTTCACGTTAATAGCCAACGTTGGCAGCGGAAAAGACACCTTAAGAAGATATGTTAATAATTATTCTACTAGGACATCTTAGTAACACCATCAAATCTCGAAAGTTATAATTCTTCCGACATATTATGCGAAACATATCCAGATATGCTCTCCTTCAAGCCATCCTGTAAGGAATAATATTTGGAAAACGAGGTCCAGGAAGACGATGAACATCTTGGTTAAAAAACCTCAGAATCTGGTTCAGTACAACATCTGTGCAGCTTTTTCCCGCTGCTGCAGATAAGACAAAGATTGCTGTGATGATCTCCAACATTCGTAACGGATAGGCACTTTAAGAAGAAGAAAAAGGCATCTTAGTTAAATTCTAGGGTGGTTAAAGATTGTTTGTGATGATATTCGCATAAGTAAGTTTGGTATGACGAAGTCGTAATCTGCTGAGGAGTACTTGATATTGTCGTTGAAGTGTAATTGGGGGTTGGTTAGAACTAGTTAAAATCTGCATTCGATTTGTTAGTAAGAACCCTTTTCTAGTACTATGCTTAAAGTACTTATAGTTATTAATATACTATAACTGTTCTTTGTCAAATAGAGACAATTTATTTAAGTTCATACCTATATAGCAAAATCAATACTGACTTGTTTAAACCAAGTTTTTTCATTTCCTACAAAGGTACAATAATGACGATATGCTACACAACAACTTAGGTATATTAGCAGTCGAAAAATAACCTTTAATAAAGTTACTTCTTTCGTGACGTATTTAGATATTTATTATTTAAGCAATTATATTTTTATACAAAATTATTGATTTATTTGATAAACCATTATAAAACTTTTTTTATTTTTTAGATTAAAACCAATGCCCATTGGGAACTCTATGAGCCAAAAACTTCAAGGAATATTATGTGTTTCGAATTTTTAGTTCGCATAACTAACTAGTGATATTTTGATAATGTACGTTAAACAATAAATTTTTTATTAAAGTGTTTTGTGTTTTAGTTATGTGATTATTATTATATTTTCACTGTCCAGTGTCATTGGAAGCTTTCTGTGATACAACACTCCACTCACTTCCTTCCACTTCATCCATCTCACCCTCCAAACGTACCCAGCTGCCAGATTATGTGCAATTATCTAAAGTGATTCTTGTTAATGATCGAGATACAAGGTGAACGAGGACTAGATTTCGATAGAAATCAAATTTCAGTCTATTTTAAGTCAATCTATTAGATATTTAGTTGAAATAAAAGTGGTTAATGACGCACTAGTATTTTTATAATTTACAAACGATAACAATAAACCAATCCAACTCCTTGATCGCATGAATACCTAAAAAGAAGATATTAATATAATTAAAAAAAAAGTAAAACTGGACGAATCTAAAATACGCGTTTTATAAGCTTTAAATTATACATGTTACAAAAAAATCCCAATTTAAAAAAAATATATTTTTCCGCAAATCGCCAGGAAATTTTGACATTGCTGTCAAAATTTCTTGAAGAAAAAGTCAGGACTTCAAGGAAATGTCATTTCCTTACAGTAAGTAAATGATATTTCCGTACAGTTGTTAGTGTTCTACATAAATGATAGAAAACACATTGCTTATAAGGAATTAATTTATATTTTGAAAACATCAAGTCATTGCTGAATACATTTTTAAGATCAATTTGTTATATTTACAGTAATGTGACAGTTAGTACAATTATTGAACATTGGAGGAACACTCTTAGAACTATGAGAAACATTTTGGACAACATGCAGGGTGGAAGTGTCATTTTGTTGAATATTTTGTACTGTGAAAATTTTATTTGCCACCTCAACCTTATTGTTAAGCGATTCTTCGATATATCCTTCAGCAACGTTTGATGACTTCCATCCGCCATGCCTCTTTAAACTAGTTATGTCGGCACCAGAGTCAACCAATATTGTTGCAGAAGACCGACGAAAGCAGTGACCAGTATATTCTGTCGGATTTACCAAGTTCAAATAAGTAGCAATTATTTTGGGCATTTTTCTAAATTAATGAATTCCTACCACTTGTCTACAACCCTTTCCGCTTTGATATTTAAAGAAAAATCGGTCACTGTTCATATTTTCTGGTCTTAACGAAACATACTTTCGATAAACATTCAAGTAGATCTGATTAATTACAAATGATCTTGGTTTGTTGGTTTTCGAATCAGGTATGCTGATTAAAAGCTTAGATTCTAAGTCTTCTATATTGTGTACAGTCATTCGGACTAACTCATCCATTCTACAGGCCCCAGAAATACCAAATATTACAGCCACCTAAAAAATAAATAAAGCTATAATCTAAATAGAAATTAAAACCTTGTAAATTACCTTAATCATTAAATTTTCTTTATCTGGAGCTTCCTGGATAAATTTTTCAATTTCTTCTTTCGTTAAAATCTTAGATTTCTTTGCCCTATAACCTTGAGCTTGCCGTTTTAATAAAGAACGAAGTTTTGAGTATGTAGATCTATCTACATTGTGTTTAAGTGCAAGGGTTGACTTCAGCATTGAATAATTGGCCCATAATGTTGAAAATTTCATCTTTAAACAAAGGTCTAGGAAGTATGCCATTACAACATTTTCTGAGAAAGAACTCATATTTTTACTCATGCGATAATCCATAAAACGTCTGTATGCATTTTCGTACTTTTCTCTTGATTTCTTTGGCAATAATTCTAATGAAGCAGTATTCACTGCCTCAACCAGCTCTGGAGGAGTCCCAGGAATGGAAATTTCATCATCACTTATCATTTTACTTTCGAGAACACCAGCAAATAAATTTATAAGCGTCAAGTTTGACAATTCAACCTCAATACGTTTCCATAGTAACCCAAGTAATTTTATTAGGAATTTCAAAGCACCATTTATTTGGGAATAAAATTATCGCGTTTTTTTTAATCAATCAATATCTGTCGAATTTTAAACGATTTGCGGAAAAATAGTATGTTTACCTCGTAGGAAAAGCCACATTTCTGGACTCTGTGTTGCTAAGTCTCGGCTTGCGCCTCGACTTAGCAATCTTCACAGTCGTCCAGGAATGTTAAGCTTTTCCTACCCGGTAAACAAGGTACTATTAATGCAATCATATGGTTATATTCAGAACGGTAGCCAAATAAATGAAAATAATACACTAAGGTGCAAAAAATCGATCCATTCCTCATGTCTTATTTATTTGAAGTTATATAATTTTAGAAACATTAAATTACGTATGCAAATTAAGGTGTACCCTCGTATACAAGAAATAAAATAATATTTTAATATTGTTTTTTATGTTTCCTAAAACAAATTGGTATTTCAAGTTTTTGTCAAAAAGGGTCTGAAGCAAGTAGATATTAATTTATTGCTTTCAATTCAACAACCATACTAGTGTAGTGATTTTATTTTCAAAACGTGTTATATTTTTATTTAATTATCCTTCTTAAATGTATCTAACTCCGACAGATGCTGCAAGGGCGGTGACTTTAGTTCAAGATGGTCGTAGTCAATATTATGCAGCTGAAATGTTGGGTGGTAGTCGATCTTCGGTTCAAAGAGCAGTTCGGCATTTTAGCGACACCGGTAACTTCACAAGAAGACCAGGACCAGGTCGTAGAAGGGTAACATTTGAAAGAGATGATCGATTTCTGGTCTCATTATGTTTGAGAAATCGGCATCTAACTTCAGTTGAACTGGCAAATTGTCTGAGCGAAGTAAGAAATGTGAATTTAAGCAGATGGACAGTTCGTCGACGACTTGTAGAAGGTAATTTATTACCCTATCGCCAATACTATCCATAGTATATCGCAGAGCTCGCCTTGCTTTTGCAAGAGAACATGAAAACTGGAGTGATGCAGATTGGAGCAATGTATTGTTCTCAGATGAGTCCAGATTTTGTCTAAGGTTACCAGACGGCCGAGAAAGGATTTGGAGAAGACACGGAGAGCGATATTTTCAATGTAATATTGCGGAAAGAATAAGTTATCGGGGGGTTTCGTTACGGTTTGGGCTGGTATCAGAAGCCATACTGATTTAGTTATTGTAGATAGAGGTTCTATGACTGCTGCAAGATACATAACAAGTATTTAAGATCAGCATATGGTACCTTTTGCTCCTTTCATTGGACCTAATTTTATTTTTCTGGACGACAATGCGCGTCCTCACCGTATGAACTGGCCAGCTTGCAGTCCCGATCTCAATCCCACAGAATATCTATGGGATATGATGGGAAGACGTCTTCGATCACGAGTACCCCGTCCAAACAACTTGGCTGAACTTACAGCATCTCTTCAAGAAATATGGGACCAATTGGATTAATTTGATATCCAGAGGTTAATTACTTCAATGCCTAGACGGGTACAGGCTGTTATAAGGGCCCGAGGGGGAAACACTGGATATTGATTTATTATCAATGTTTTTCTTAATTTCAGAGTTACTCTTAAGTTTTGATTACTTTTGTATTTTTGAGTTTTGGAGTATGTCTCTATAAATAAATGATCTGTAAAAATTATTTTAAACTAACATATATACTTTTACATATATACCTGATTTAAAACTAATATCTTCAAACGTTTTCTTTTTTTAGCAAATAATACCCAAGGATCGATTTTTTTGCACCTGAGTGTATAATACTTGACAAGTCAGACAGATGAAAAAAGTACTTTAACATTTTATTAAATGGAGAATGTTAAGAAATTAAAATTAAATAAGAAAAAAAAGGAAAATCAGGGAAAATCAGTTAAACCAGATAATATTTCTGGAGTAATGTGGACAGCTTTTGCAGAAACCGAAACATGTTCGCTATCGGGTTTGTTTAACAGAATTATGACCATGTGACAAATCCCAGACAAAGACATGTGACAAAGAGATTAAACGTAGATGTGATCTAGCAAAAGTTGCCACAGCAAAAATGACCAAAATATGGAAGGAATGTCAAATTTCAAGAGCGATAAAGATGAGGTTGATCAACTGCTTAATATTCCCAATACTGACCTACGGATGTGAATCTTGGACTATGAGACAATCAGAGAGAAGAAAGTTAGACGCCACTGAAATGTTCTATTGGAGACGAATGTTACGAATTCCTTGGACCGACCGTAGAACAAATAATTCAACATAGACAGACTCATAATACAAGGAAAGGTAGAAAGCCGAAGATCACGAGAAAGATCCCCAACAAGATGGATAGATCAAATTACAGGAATATGCCAAAGACCTATGCATGAATTAAAAGAAATGACCAGAGACAGAGATCTCCGGAGACGGACAATACACGACATCACGTCGACCACTACACTCCCCCTGGGGGGTCAGGATTGAAGAGAGAGACAAATCCCAGATGAATGGTGGTATAGTACAGAAGTGCAGAACAAACTAAAGAAACTAAGCCGTCAGCAAACGATCCTAACGACAGACAGACAAAAGCGTAGACAGAACGCATGCAATTTTTCTTGAATTTCGAATGTAAAGATTTTTCACCGACACATTAAACCCAGTTTTATAGCGTTATTCGTCTTGTTATATTGTGGCATTCTTTACCTCTCAAATTTCTATGTCATCGTTCCTTACGTGTTCTAGTCTAGGTCTTCTGGCTGACCTCCTCCAAAAATCAATCTCAGTGGCTAGTACCAGCGTTGTACTTCTTGGTTAATTGCCATTTTAGCTGCATAGGTTAATAGGTTTTAAAACTGTGTTGTAAATTAGTTTTTTATGTTATGTTCCTATATTCTTATGCCGCTGTATCGAATTTAAGCTTCCTATCATCTGTCCCCTCTTAACTATTTTCTTCATGTAACTACTTGTTAGTTTTATTCCCAGGTAAACGTATTCATTGCAGCTTGCAATTGTTTCCTGTTACTCCGTTCCTTTCATTCTTAACGCTTTTTTTTCGATATTTGTCTCCACATATTATTTTCTATATTTCTTCCGTTGCCATATATTTAAGATATTTCTTATCCTGTGCAATTGCAATTTGGTCATCTGCATAGTGTAGTGT